AGGAGGGAAGTGACTAACTTCTTGAAAATATCAGTTTTGGAAAATAATGTGTAGATTGCTGCTTCAGAAAGCGTTCCAGCCCAGTGGAGATATTGGATTGAGTAAGAGTAGCAGTTACCATTGGACTGAAATAATGTCTGAGCCACCAGATAAACACTATTTTCCTTGAAGACATGTCTTTTTTCATTTTATGTGCTGTGCTTGAAACACGTAGGTAAAATTTTTAAAGTTAATGAAAAACATATCTATGTCTTTGAGAGTGTTGTCACACCACCAGTTGCTGGTGGATGAGAAGCTCAACATGAGCCGGCAATGTGCACTGGCAGCCCAGAAAGCCAACTGTATCCTGGGCTGTATGAAAAGAAGTGTGGCCAGCAGGTCGAGGGAGGTGATTCTGCCCCTCTACTCAGCTCTCGTGAGACCCCACCTGGAATACTGTGTTCAGCTCTGGAGTCCCCAACACAAGAAGGACATGGAGCTACTGGAACGAGTCCAGAGGAGGGCCACGAAGATGATCCGAGGGCTGGAGCACCTCTGCTATGAAGACAGGCCGAGAGAGTTGGGGCTGTTCAGCCTGGAGAAGAGAAGGCTCCGGGGTGATCTTATAGCAGCTTTCCAGTACCTAAAGGGGGCCTACAGAGGGACTTTTTACAAGGGCGCGTAGTGATAGGACAAGGGGCAATGGATTTAAACTGAAAGAGGGCAGATTTAGGTTAGATATAAGAAAGAAATTCTTTACATTGAGGGTGGTGAGGTACTGGAACAGGTTGCCCAGAGAAGTTGTAGATGTGCCATCCCTGGCAGTGTTCAAGGCCAGGTTGGATGAGGCTTTGGGCAACCTGGTGTAGTGGAGGAATTTCCCTGCCCATGGAAGGGGGGTTGGAACTAGATGATCTTTAAGATCCCTTCCAACCCTAACCATTCTATGATTCTATGACATAGTATTCCAGCAAAAAAATTTTTCTTCAATATTAGATTTTGCAGTTATAATCTGCTTAAATTTTGTATTTAGAGGAGAATGCTGAAGAGAACATATTTTCTATTTTCATTGGATCTAAAATTGAGGATGTTTTTGTTATGATAAAACTAGTTTGGATCCTTTCCCTAGTTGATTGTTTCAACTACTAGCTTAGTTCTTAAATTAGGAACTGTTACAAGCTGTTGCTGGAAAGGAATTGATTAAAAAATAATTTAACATTCCTTTAGCACCATTCACTAGTAGGACAAGGCTGGAGTGATAGAAGAAAATGATAGAATTTGTTACCTCATCTTGAGAGTTGCAAATGGTGTAAATTGAGGGGTTTCCTTTTTATCCTAGAATATTTTTTCAGACATTCCTTTATATTTTATTATTTGCATAGAAACTAGAAATATTCACTCCAAATATTTGAAACTTGCAAATACCCTTCTTGTTCAGCCAGTGATTTTTTTTCCCACTGTTCACTGATCTGCAAATTTGTACAGAGGCATACCAATATAAATTATTTTCATCAAAAAGACATAACGAAGTAGTTTAAAATTCTAATATTTTGCCTGGGGATAGGAAAAAATAAGACATCAAAGAAATGTTTCACTCATCTGTTTTTGAAATGAATATGTTAATATTTTTATGCATTTCAACCGTGTTTTATTTAAAATATGCAATTATGTTGAAATAACTTGGAAGAATTTTGTCAGAGAATTTAGGCTGTTTGTTTTCTCAGCTATCACCTTTTTTAGTAAAGGACACAGACACAAATGTGCTATTACAGAAGTAATTATAAATTTACATTTAAAATTTCCACTATCTAGTACCACAAATTATTTAGTTTGATTTGTCCAAAGAATCTAGGCCTTGAAGAAGGAAAGCTTTTTACCGTCTGAATGGTAATGAGTACTTTCCCAGAGGAATTTTGATTTTGCTGATCTCTGCATATTTAAATATACTTAAGACAGTTTCTTGAAGATGGATCATTGTCAGAAAATGATTATTTGGGGACTTGAATTCAGTGCTATGTTGGCAATAGAAGCAAATTTTCTGTTATTTTGTTATGTCTTACTCTATCTTACAGGGTCAAGAGAAGTATGGGTTACTGAATGTGACAAAAATTACAGAAAATGGGAAAAAAGTTCGGTAAGTCTTGGACTTCTAGAAGTACATGTGCATAAGGGTTTGTGTAAGGTATCTGACTCATATTAGACTGGGTTTTGCAACTTATTATTTTTTGTGTGAAATTGCCTTAGAAGTTTTTGTGTAGGGGCCAGCATTTCCTTATCCCAAACTGCTTCTCCCAGTGAACTAAAGATAATGGGCTTGGCTCATGTATGCCAGGGCTCCACAGAGGGCAGGGACTTCATGAATGTGTACTGATGAGATGTAGCTTTTTAAAATGGGATTGATTTATTTATTCAAGAGAAGATCTGTATAGGTCGTGCCTGTCTTGTTCCTTGAATAGAATTGGTGTAACAGAGGCTTTCAGACTTTCACTTCATCTCCTTTAATTTCTAAGGAGTGTACGTGTCATGTGCTTCCTAATTATTCCTTCACTCTACTTGTGAGGGGTTTGAAGCAGAATGTATTGCCCAATGTTGGTGTCCCTGTAGGTGATGAATGACCTCATTTCTAAATTCCTTTCTCTGCCTCACAGGCAGGCATTTGCATTATAAATCGTAAGGTATAATCAAGTAATGCTGTCTAACTTATGTTTGTGGTGTTTTGCTAAGAGTCAGTGTTAAAAACTGCGTAATCTACATATTCAGATTTAATTTAGGTTTACTTTTTAATTTTTTTTTCCTTTTATTTTTTTAATTTAGTCTTTTAGGTCTAAAACTGTGTTATATCTAGTTCAGTGTTTCCCAGACTTTTGAAACATGAAGCATGCTTTTCCTCAGGATTAAATAGTCAGCACCCAGCTGATATTCCAGAGCCACCCTGAACTAGTCCAGTGCAGCTGGGCAGCACATCTGACCCCCAGTTCGGTTCCTCTGAGCTGCTCCTAAGCGCTTTGTAGGAAAGA